TCTTGATGGGGATGTTGTTGTTGCTGGTTGCCGGCAACAGTCGCTGACATCGTCGGCGACCCAACGCGACTCCTGCGAACAGAAAATACAATTCGGAAGGATTGAAAATCGGAGAAGTACTTCCCGACAAATTGTCACGGTTCGTACAGAGTGAAGTTTCGACTCGATTTCTCAAGTGTAATACAAAGATTAATTACAATTTATCAATGATAAAACCAGCACGTTGAATGAATCGTTGTTTATAAATTATCATGATACATTAATGTCGAAACAATCAACGAGCAAATGATCGTTGTTGGGGCGACCTTGAAATCCTGCGGACCCCGAATCTCGTTGCATCGAATTCGAGGGTGAATTTAGGATTACGCAATCACCGGCATAGCAAGAGGCCGGCAGCTTCGAGATAAAATCCCGATTTATGGAACGTAGCTGGCCGTAGCTCGCACCATACTTATGGGAGCCCGTGGGTGGCCTGACAAGGGGCACGTTCACCGACTTTCCGGAATCCTTATATCCGTCGCGAGCGATTCTCGATCGCGAAGAAAAAGATCGATCCTCGTCGCGTTGCGCATACGTACGAATTCCTCCTTTTACGTTCCTCCAACCATCCCCTTATCCTTACTTGGGCTCCAGTGGATCTCAGTTAAACACATGTCCTCTCACACTGTATATATAATTATTTTATACTTATATCATGCACGTATTATACTGTCATTAATTCCTGAAGATTGAGATATTATCATCAGTCGCTAGGGTCGAATTTTCAGTTTAATTCTGAGTAAGAGAAGCATCGAAAACTTGTTGGAAGAAGTGTAGTTTCACACACATTTTGTCACTCTTTCCTTTTTATTCTCGGAGATTGAATGCAATCGCGAGTAATTGCTAAAAAGGTTCAGCTATCCACTGTTATTTACGAATGCGTTTGAAATCGAAAGTGAATCGAAGAGGCAGATCAAGGATCGTTTGCGCGATAGAGTTACGAAATAAAAGCGTTCTTCGTCAGTTGCCAACGTAGGAGCTTAGCGGTGAACGATTGTGCATAAATTCTCGAGTAAGTCTTGACATTAAAATCCACGGTTATAATCTATGGCAGCATCGAGCCGTGACTCTGACATAAGTCAGTGTGTTTTTCAAAATATCAATTTCTGGCCAAAAAGTACTTCAAATCTAACTGGAGTAGAAAAATCTAAAAATCCAGATTCGCTTTTTTGACGATTGAACGACACGGGTTAAAACACTTGTTG